TTAGGTGTGCCGGGTTCTTCCTTTTTTCTTGGGGGGGTTGGGGGGGGGGGGTTCGACAGGCCTTTCCTGGAGCTTCTGCCACGCATGCAGAGCAATGTTACCCAGAAGTGACATCATTACCACCGACGCAACGAGGTGACACACTAGTCTTTGGGCCAAACTCTATGGTTTGAGCCCGATTTTAGCAGAGTTTTACCCAAAAACTAGAGCACCGTTGGCGCAATGATGTCCCTTCCAGGTGACATCATCACACTGCGTTTTGGGGTATTTGTTGGCGGGGTCCTCCCCCCGCATCAGCCAGCTGGCCAGCAAGAAGCTTGCAAAAGCAGGGGAACCCCCACCCAGACTGGGGGGCTGGCATTCCTATTTGGGCTAGTCATACATTCTCAGCCTAACCTACCTCACAGGGTTTTCATGAGGATAAAATAAGGGGGAGGAAAACATATAGAAACATAGCAAATATACAAACAAACAGTAAAGATACATCAATTCAGTCTAGCCTGAGGCTACGCATGGCAGCCACTGCATTATACTACTTAGTGCTGGACCACAATCTGGGAGACCCAGGGGATCCCCCACTCTGCCATGGAAGAAGACGAAGAAGAGGAGGAGGAGATGGGATTTATACCCTGCCCTTCACTACCCAAAGGAGTCTCAGAGCAGCTTACAAAGTTCCCCACAACAGACACCCTGTGAGGTGGGTGGGGCTGAGAGAACTCTGACACAAACTGCTCTTTCAAGGACAGCTCTGACAGAACTATGGCTTGCCCAAGGTCACCCAGCAGCTACAAGTGGAGGAGTGGGGAATCAAACCCGGTTCTCCCAGTTGAGAGCATCTGCACTCCTAACCACTACACCAAACTGGAAGCTCCATGGATCTCAGCTTAACATCCCTCACCGAACTGTTGTGAGGATAAAGCGAAGGAGTTGAGCTGGTTGCTTTAATTTCTGCTATTCTCCTGAGGTAGTTTTTTCTTTTAAATCTTCCTGGGTGCATACTCTCAGCCTAGCCTACCTCACGGGGTTGTTGTAAGGAGAAAACAGAAGACAACAACGTAAGCCGCTCTGGGTCTCCACCGGGGAGAAAGGCAGGGCGTGTGAAGTAAATATTACCACTACGTATATTATAGTAGTGATTATAATCAATGCTCCCTCTAAGCTGTGGGGTCTTGTGAGCAAAAATTCTACTTGGTGAGCGACTGGCATTAAAGTTGTGACCCAGCCATTTGGCTGCTGCAGAAATTAGTGTGCTCTGGGAAGCCATCCTTCCTGAAATGTGTGAGCCGGAGGCTGAAAAAACTGCGAGCTAGCTCACACTGACTCAGCTTAGAGGGAACACTGATTATAATCGCTCGGGGGAAGCGAGGGGCCACAGGGCCCGATCCGGGACGAGCCACCGGCCTACGAGCGGGCCTCCCTCCCTCACACCTGACAACACACCTGACGTCACTGCCGCCCCCCCAGGGGAGACCCGCTCTCCCGCTCAGCGGGGCGGCCAGGATACGTTCCCCACATGCCCGACAGACAGAACCAACCCCGGACTGAGGGGACAAGCCGACCACGCACGGAGAGCACACCTGTGGAGGGAGCAGCAGCGGCGACCGCCACCTTCGGCCGACGTCCCACGCTGCCTCTGCCTCTACCTGGCGAGGTTATAAAATCTCCTCAGGAAGCCGTTTGCAGTCCCGCCCCCTCCAACTGCCGCCCCCCGAACCCGAAACTTTCAACCAATGGCCGCCCCGAGCCCCTTCTCTTTGCCTAAACTTGTTGTCCAATCAGAAACCTAGTCCGTTGAAACCGTTGACCCCGCCTCTTGCAGATCGACGGCTCCGGGGCAACCAATAGACGCCGCGGGTCCCTTCGTCCCGCCCAACGCCGCGACTTGAGGATTTCCCTTCGAAGGCGCCCTAAGGTAGAGGGATAAAAGGAGGAGATACGGTGCGCATGCTCCGTTCCTCGCTCTTCGCGCCGCCGTTCCCGCGGCCGGCAAATCTCCGCTGAAGGCGGGGCTGCGGAACGTAAAGGGCTGATAGGCTGAATTTCAAATCGGGCTCCGTCTCGGTTGCGAGGACAGCCAATTAGGAGGCTGGAGGTGGCTGCGCCGAGGAGTCTTTCGTGTTTAGAGTATTTGCTATGTTTACAAAAGAGAATCTGAAGTCTTGTGGCGGAACGTCAATCACTGATGCACTTTTATTCTAGCATACATTTTCGTGGTTCGGGTGCATGAAGAGGTGTTTAGGCTACCACAAGTGCTAACCTGCTTAACAAAACTAGGGAAATCCTATTATTGTCATGTTATATTTTTCTTCATACCCTCATACGGAAAGGTGCCGTTAGGTCTCACCAAATGCGTCAGATGAGGCGCACTCATTTTTTACACATGCGGAATAATGCACTTCCAAGCCACGTTCAATGCACTTTGCATTTGGATTTTACGGTGTCAAATGGCAAAATCCACTGTAAATGATCGCTAAAAGTTTACCGCTTTTTGTTGTTTAAAGTACCGTGAGGCTTTGGTTCATTTCTGCTCCAATGGACACCCCCCTCCCTTCCCGCGGCTACTTCTTGGAATTACATTACCCCCCCCCCCCCCCAAAATCAGTTTTATTCAATTTTCTCATGAACTCATAAAAATGTGACAAAAAACCCCCCGGAATTACATTTGATCTCAGTAAACTCCTTAAAAAGCAACATAATCTCCCAGGGTATAAACTTCCCTGAGTCAAAGATCACTTCCACTGGAAAGCTTATATGGCCCTTAAAGTGCTGCTGGATCCGAATTTTGTCCTGCTGCTTCAGACCACACAGCTACCCATCTGAATCTTCTCTGGCACTGATACACGTTTATATAGGTAGTATTTATTACTGGCCACAGGGTGTCTCTGTTTGACCAGAAACATCTTTGTTTCCGAAGTTTAAGGAACAGATATGACACAATTCCTCAACTGACAACTAGATGCTCTTACATTTTCCCCGTAGTCTGGGGTTCTTTATCACAAGGTCATTTCATCAGAAGAACTTCCCTTGTAAGGGCAGAAAGGTGAGATACAAATTTTGTAAATAATAAAATAAATACATTGACTCCATGGGGCTGTATAGGACTTCAAAGCACTCCCTGTTTTATCTCATTTTGAGCCACACAAAATGGGGGGGTCACATATTTTTTAAAATTAATTGTTATTTTATTTTTAACAACAGTAATCAAACAATTAACAATTCAATCAACAATAGCAGAGTATGCAACAACAATATAACAAAAATAAACTCACAATTTCTTTTTCTTTTTTTAAATCATCTTTATTAATTTTAAATTAAAGCACAATACAGCGTAATACAGTGCATCCGTCTACAAGAATGTCATCTAAATGGAAGGGGTCTAAACCTACAAGGTTAACCACTTCAGATAAAGAGGGTTAGGGGGGAGAATATCTAGAATCTGTAGATAGGAGACTACAGGGAACCAAGTTGACACAAATGTGGAGTGCTGGTGGTCCTGCCCCAAGATCCAACAGTTTTGGATAGATGTGAAACAACAAATTGAGACTATCACAACTCGAAATCTCTCTCTCACACCTAAATCCTTTCTGTTAAACCACTGGGATGATTCTATTCAAGATTATGACAATGAACTCACATCGACTCTATTAGCAATTGCCCGACTGGCCATTGCTGCAAACTGGAAGTCTCCAGCAGCACCATCAGTGACGGACTCGCAAGACAAGCTATGGGAACACCTGGTCATGGCAAAAACTCACAATTTCTATTAACAATAAGCAAAGTTTTGGAAAATCCATACCTGTAGATACCATATACCATATGTCCTTAAAAGGGGAAAGTGTAATTGTGATACTGTTTATTGAAAAAAACATCATTACCACCCATGTCTTGTGCTGCTGAATCAAGCAGAGGGTTCCACTTTTCTAGAAAATCGGACTGATACGTAGGGTTCCCATCACTTCTCATAAGGTTGCCAATCTCCAGGTAGGGCGTGGAGTTCTCCTAGAATCACAACTGAGCTCCAGACAGCAGAGGTAAAGTCCCCTGAAAGAAATTACAGCGCCAGAGGGTGAAGTTTGTGGCATTCCATTTTTGCTGAGCTCCGTCCCCGGCTCAAAGTCTGCTCTCCCCAGACACCACCACCAAATCTCACTAGCACCACCGTCACCCTTTGGAGTCTCTTGTGTGATCACATTCTCAGTTTGCAACAACCCACACACAATCAAGATGAATGCAAGTTTGTAATGTATTTGACCTTCAGTATGAAAGGAAATGGGGGAAAAACTCTTCACAACAATCTAGTGGGTCTCATCCACTAAAGAATTTACCCAGTAAGAAATTTTTAAGAGTACATTGGAGATTTACAGTGCATTTAGGATTGCTAACTCCAGGTTGGGAAATACCTGGGTATTGGGGTGTAGAACCTGGCGAGGTGAGAGAACTCAGCAAGGATATGATGCCATAGAGTCCATCCTCCAAAGCAGTCATTTTCTCCAAGGGAACAATGCTCCCTCTAAGCTGTGGAGTCTTGTCAGCAAAAATTCTACTTTGTGAGCTACTGGCATTAAAGTTGTGAGCGAGCGATTTGGCTACTTAGGATTGACAGGTCTGGTTTGGAAAACACCTGGAGACTTTGGGGGTGGATCCAGGAGAGGGTGGGGTTTAGGCAGGGGCTTCAACATGGCACACTGCCACAGAGTCCACCCTTCAAAGCAGCCATTTTCTCCAGGGGAGCTGATCTCTGTCAGCTGGAGATCTGTTGTAAAAGCTGAAGGCTGGCAACCCTATGGTTACTGCATAAATTAGTTTGCTCTGGAGCCCTCCTTCCTGAGCTAAGACAAAAACGTTTGAGCCGGAGGCTAAAAAAATGTGAGCTAGATCACACGAACTCAGCTTAGAGGGAACACTGCAAGGGAACTGGTCTCTATCATCTGGAGATCCATTGTAATTATGGGGGTGGATCTCCAGGCCCCACCTGGAGATTATAATTCAAAAACTGAGGGTCAGTGTTAGGAAGATATGGAAAAGTATATGACACTATTGTGTAATAGATGTGTGTTTAAGGTAGATCTATTTTGTGCTGTTTTTTAAAAAAATTCTATACTGTTATATAAATACTGGTATCAAGTATTACCAAACATAGGTTTCACCAAAACAATACCTCAAAGTGCAGGTTTACACTATGTTCAAACATTTAAACAAGCACCTTGTCAGTTTCACAATCACTAATCCCAGGGGACTCTAGTGATTTATCCATATCGAATACAATCTTTTTCAAGGACCGTGATGTACAGGACATAAGGCTCTATCAATTCTCTTTGTGAGTATAAAACTCTTAAAATAGCAGCGTATTTTCTAGGGTCCCATCGGAAGCCTTGCAGCAAACATAGTAGCCTATCTAGGAGAACATATCTCTCAGGTTCTATCAGGCAGCCACAACCTCTTTCCTGCAACCTCTTTCCTGGGAGTAATCCTTATTGAATAGTCCTTAGCAGTAAGACCTGAGTAGACCTGCTTAGTATTGCTCCCTCAGCATTGTTTTTCCTTGATTGTACAGAACTGATAATAACCTTGCCCATTTTGATTGTTTATTCCCCTCCCTCCTTGTTTGCTGTCCAAGGTGACTACACTCTGAATGAACTACTAGACCGACTACACTTGGAGATGTGCTTTGTTTCGACACTACAAACATAGCAACTATGTTACTTGGGCTTGACATAGTTTACTCAGAGAAGCCTGCTAGCAACCTACAGGGCTGGGCTCAGTGAAACCTGCAAGGGGGAAACCGGCCGCTCTTCAAAAGTGTCAGTGCCGTTCAAGTGTCTCTTAGTAACCAGGCTGACCGTAGAAGACAAAGAGACGGTGGAGGAGGCTAGGCATGAGGGGCTTCTCTTCTCCTTTGCAGCTTCAGTCTGAAACGATCGGCAAAAGGGAACTTTATGGAAGACTTTGACCGAGATGCCGGAGGATGAAAGAGGCAACGTGTGTTGAAAATAGTTTACTTCACTTTGCCGTTTTGTCAGCTGGGATTTTGTCTTGATGACGGACTCGGCTGTGGTGGATCACCTGGCACGACTGAAACTCAAACTCCTTGAAAAGGTAGGACTGTTTCCATGGGCCTGTCCAGGTGGCAACCGCCCAGATGGCTGGTATGGCGCAGTAGTGTTAAACTGGTATTAGAGAAACAGTCTCAGATAAGAGGTACCAAGGAGGTTGTAGAGAAGTTCCTCGTTCATGCTACTGGTGTCCAGGCAGATCTTGCCATCTGGACTCTCCCGGCAATCAGAAATGGGATTGGCATAGTTCTTTACAGGTAAAGATGAAAGGCGACTGACAACTCGCAGAAGAAGCCAAAAGAAGATTTGTGTATTACTAGTAAAAGATTAACATACTAATAATAATATCACCCAACCTTTTCTTTATCCCACTGTATACCTCCCTTTTTCCTATATGAAAAAAGAATAAACTCTCTTCTCTTTAGAAGAGTCAATTAAAAAAAAGAAAAGAAATGGGATTGGCATAGTCATCGTGATCACTCAGGGCCAAAATACATGATATGCCCGACGTGAGTTGAGTCATGGGTACAAGACCAAATCACAGTCAGCTGTGAATCCAGAGAATTCAACTTGAACCGTGCTCTTTCACTCGGTGCTGTGAGGACGCACTGGATGTTGGGAGGAGATTCCAGTTTTCTTCCCATGTCATTTAGCCAGCAGAAATGGTAGCAGCAGTAGGGCTTCTGGGAAATTCCTTGAAATTTGCGGGTAAAACCTGGGGAGGGTGGTGTATAGGAAGAGGAGGGATAAAATAGCATCGAGCCCACCCTCCAAATCAGCCATTTTCTCCAGGGGAACTGAACCCTCTGTCATCTGGGGCTCAGCTGAAATTCCGGAGGATCTCCAGCTCCCACCTGGTTGGCAACTCTAGGTGGTGGGGGCTTTTTGCTCCATTCTCTGGCTCATGTGCCTTTCCTAGAACTTGGAAGTTCCTTCTTCCCCCTCGCAGCACTGAGTGAACATACCCTGTTTAAGTTGAGTTCCCCCAGTGTACACCAGACTGTGAGTCGAGTCGAAGATCCATGACTCAACTTGTCTTAGGAGCTTCATATATTTTGGCCCTAAAATGTTATGTCCATGCTAGCTAGACTGTCAAGTGATTTACTTCTGGGAATACATTAATGGTGTGTGTTTTATTCCTAGATTTGACTTTGGACAGGTGACCATATCTGTTGAGCACAGTGTGTTCAGTTCTCAAACATATCGGCCACTACGATCTCAGCATCCCTGCTTTGCTTGTGAGCGGCAGCTTGGGTGATGCGTTCCATTTATCTACTTGTCAGAAGCCAAACCTAGGATTTCCAGTCCCCTGTTAATCCTCATGTTGCTTTAATCCACAGAAACTAGAAAATGAACAGGAAACTATGGAGGATTGTGAATCTCCTGTTCCTGAAGCAAGTAAGAAACGGAAGTTCTTTTATCTCTCTGGAAAAATTACTATGTGGAATTTTACTGACAGGATTGTATTACAAACGCCTATCTTCATTTTTTTACATTTTAACCCCACCTTTCCCAATGAGAAGTACAAAATTCTGGGAAGGAGGGAAGGTGCTCCGGTCATACCAGGAGAGCCGCAGAGTCAGGCATCAAATATGATCAGAGCCAGTTTGGTGTAGTGGTTAAGAGCGTGGACTCTAATTTTGGAGAACCAGGTTTGATTCCCCACTCCTTCACATGCAGCTGCTGGTGTGACCTTGGGTCAGTCACAAGTTCTCCCAGAGCTCTCTCAGCCCCACCTACCTCACAAGGTGTCTGTTGCGGGGAGAGGAAGGGAAGGAGATCATAAGCCGTTCTGAGACTTTGAGTGAAGGGTGGGGTATAAATCCAATCTCCTCTTCTTCTCTTCTTCTTCATGTGATATTTAGGGTTTGGGAGTCTTTGTGGGATGAGGAGAGCTCCAGAGAGAATCTGTGGTAGTTCAAAATGGCCCCCTTCCCTGGAGTTTAGGACACTTTGTTTTCTTCTCCATATTATAGGGTTGCCAAGTCCTTACCTCAAGAAGAGCGGGGGAGTCCAGTGCTGGTCTGGGAGTCCCTGTGCACACGCGAAGCGCACATGCACGGCAATTACGTCACCCAGAAGTGACCTAATCACGTTGGGGGCGGGGCCACAATCATCCGAGGGGAAACCAGCAGCGGCGGGTAACGGGCCTCTCAGGCGGGGGTTTCCCCGCCCCCCGGGGGGACTTGGCAAGCCTATCATATTATCTTCCTGAGTTGGTAGTTTAAGCTGAGAGTGCCTGGGCCAAAGTCACTGAATTAGCTTCTTGGCTGTGTGGGGATTTGAACTTACATTCCTCAATGCTAACTTGATACTCCAGTGATAGATGCCTTAATTGCATCTAGACTGGACTATTACAATGAGCTCTACTGGGGGCTATCCTTGAATAGTGTTTGGAGGCTGCAGCTAGTACAGAATGCTGCAGCTGTACTACCGGTCAGGCCAGCTGTCAGGAGCATTTGACTCCAAACCTACAGCAATTATACTGACAACCGATTTGCTCCTGAGCCCAAATCACTGTATTGGTTTTGAACTTTAGAGCCCTACATGGCTTGGGACCAGGGTATTTGAAGGGCCAGCTACTCCCATGTGTTACCACCCACCAGGGCTATTTTTGGCCAGGAACGCTGGCTCCCAAGTTGGCCACGCCCAGCAGGAACTCATTAGTATAATAGGCCACACCCAACAGCAGAAACTCATTAGGATTGGCTACATTAGGGGTGTGTGGCCTAACATGCAAAGGAGTTCCTGCTACAAAAAAGCCCTGGGTTTTGACAACAAACAAGGTAAACAGAGTAAGACGCAAAAGGTGGGTGTGGCTGGATAACATGGGGGTGCGGCCTAATGTGCTAATGAGCGGCGCTATCAGGGGTGTGGCCTAATATGCTAATGAGTTCCTGCTGTTGGGTGTGGCCTATTATGCTAATGAGTTCCTGCTGGGCTTTTTCTACAAAAAGAGCCCTGCCGCCCAGGAACTAAGGTCACAGGGAGAGGGCCTCTTCTAGGGTTTCCAATCCCCAGGTCCCACTGGGGTTTCCCCTGCACTTTGGGGCTTCTGCCCGCCCCCATACAGCCACATCTGGGTGCGACGTCCCTGATGCAATGACGTCGCCCGGAAGTGACGTCATCATCTCAGGGCCGTCACACATAATGCTCTGGTTTGAGGGCAAAACTCTATGGTAAATTTGACCTAAAACCATAGAGTTTTGCCATTAAACCTGAGTGTTGCCGCGTGATGTCACCGATGCAATTATGTCACTTCTGGGTGATGTTATTGCATCGGCAACATCCCAGAATGCTCCCCAAATCCCCCCACTGGCATGGCAAGGGGACCTGGCAAACCCATCCTCTTCACTGTCCCAGTGACCAAAGAAACCTGTCTGGCGGTGGGTACACACGAGAATGCTCTTTCAGTGGCAGCTCCACAGATACACAACAAACACCCCAGGGAGATGCACCCTGCCCCATTGCTTTCAGTCTTCAACAGGCCTCTGAAGGTGGTTTTATTTGTGATGGCATTAGATCACTTTCAGTTCTTCTGCTTACCAGCAGTTTAAAATTATTGATCTGAACGAGTGGTTTGAAGGTATTTTGCTCTATTTTATTCTTATTTACATTGTAAGCTGCTTTGAGTTCCTGTAACATAGAAAGGTGGCTAATAAATGTTTTATAAATGACTGCTATGCAACATCGGGCCTCTACTCTACACTTGTAGGTGGTTGCACATATGAAGCAAGTAGCAATAAGTCTTGGTCTCGATGGCCAAAAAGCTTTATTTTTATTTTACATAATTTATATCCCACCTTTCTTCTTGCAAAAGGGCCACCAAGGTGACCCTTTTTACACCTTGATACCTGTTACACCTGAACACCCTTCTTGAACTGGAAAGTCTACTTTGAAAGCAAGGTGGCGAAAACAGGGTTACTACAGAAGTCTATGGGTGTACTGGGGGTGGTGGTGTTCCCAGCCACTGTTTCTCCTATCCCAAATTAGAATTCAAAAATGTTCAGCTTTTTAAATCTCGAAGAACAGTATTTCCTTTGCATCTATTCTCACATACTTGTCATTAATAGCATCAAGATATAGATAGGGACTCTGGGGCAAGTGATGCTCTGTCATCTTGGTGCTTGGGGAGGTCAACAGTGGGAGGGCTTCTAATGTCCTGGCCCCACTGGTGGACCTCCTGATGGCACCTGGTATTTCTGGCCACTGTGTGATACAGAGTGTTGGACTGGATGGGCCTTTGGCCTGATCCAACATTGGCGTCTCTTATGTCCTTATGTTCTTAAGCTGCAGTGCCTACCTATAAATGAATCCATGACTGTTACAGAGAGCCCCCTGAAGAGTAATTGTCCATGTGAAATTAACTGAAGTGTGATATCGAGTCACAGCCAACTCATGGCAACTTCATGAAGTTCCACCTCATGGAGTGGTTAAGGGAAGAGAATAGCAGAAGTGGTTTGCCATTGTCTTCCTTTGTACGTATAGCCACCATGGTCTTCCTTGATGGCCTCCCATCCAAGTATCCAGTCTGCTTAGTGTCGGTGATCTAGCAAGATTGGGCTACTCTGGGCTATTAGGCATGCTCCGATTGTTCATACGCATGGGTATAAATCTTGTGCAACTCAGCCTTATTTGTCATTAACCTTCCCCACCACACCAAACAACAAAAAACCCACAAGCATAGTCCAGAAAATCTGTGAAAATGTTATCTGAACAAATAGAGACTACTGAACGGTGACTACTGAAAAAGAGAAGAGGTGCTACTGTGGCTGTATATTAAGAAATAAACAGGAGATAACAGTGGAAGGCGATAACAGAGGGTCTCCGACTGTTTTGCAGGGAATTACAGAGGCCACGACTATGCCTTACAAAGCGCACTGAGGCGAAGAAAAGACCTTCTGCAGCAACTCAGGGTACGCCCCCCAAATTCTTCCCACTGTTTCCTACAACAAATCCTAATTCGAATGCATCAAGGCCAAGCAGCAGCTTTGTTAAAACTTCTGAGTGTCTGAATTTAAATTTAGCCCTCATTCTGTACTTGTCAGAAAACTAGAACACAATGGACAGCTCTCGTCCATGCTGGAACACAGGTTGTAAGGAGGGTGGCCAACTCCAGATTGGAAAATTCCTATGGATTTGGGGGTAGAGCCTGGAGAGGGCGGGGTTTGAGAAGGGGCGGGACCTCAGAGGGATATAGTGCCACAGAGTCCGCCCTCTGAAGCAGTCATGTTCTCCAGCGGAACTAATTTCTGTTCTCTGGAGATCAATTGTAAATCTGGGAGATCTCCATGTTCTACCCGGAGGCGTGGTAACCCTAAGACCTTGAGAAAATGGGAATGTGGGTTGTTGTCTGAATGTTCGCATGACCAGTGCCACTTTAAAAAGTCTGAACCCACATTAAACACGAAATGGATATGCAGTTCTAAAGTCTTGCTAACGGACTTTGCAATAGGTGCCTAGCTCAGGCTTTACAACAGCAGCAGGCTTGCACCTCTTTTTTGTCTTAAAATGTGGAATTAGAAACACCTAAAGTGTGTGCATTTTTAGCAGACATTTGGGGAATATTATGCAAATTACTGCAAGTATTAAAATTCTCTATTTCGTTTTCTTCTTTGTGTCATGAGAGAAGTGGGGCAGAATTCACCTTGAGGTGAGGATGGAGAAAATAAAGATGTCATTCTTCTGAACTGATCTATTTTCCATACAGAATTAAATTTTTTTACCTTTAATTAACTGAATCTTAAACTCCCTGGTTTAAGAAATTTTAGCAGCCAGACAAAAGTATGCAAGCTTTCCCCCCCTAAAACCTTAAATAAACATTTTGATTACACTAAATGCTGGTTTCCCAGTAATGTTTTTGACAGGGAAATATCAGTGCTAATGCTCCATTGACACGCCCTGTGGGAGTTTGACATAGGGCTGCCAGGTCTACGATGGAAAATTTAAACACAGAAACAAAGAGCTGGAAGCGGTACCAAGGGTCATCTAGTCCAACCCCCTGCACAATGCAGGAAATTCAGTAACCTCCCCCCCCCATTCCCCCAATGACTCCAGCTCTATGCCCAGAGGAAGACAAAAAACCTCCAGGATCCCTGGCCCAATCTGGCCTGGAAGGAAATTCCTTCTAGATTCCAAAGGGGCATATACGAAAGGACCACAAGATCCTTTCCAGCCTTCCCTTTCACGATGTGTCTAAATTCATAGTGCGAAATTCACAGTGAAATTCCCGGGAGAGTCGGGGGCGGAGCCAGGGGAGGGCAGGAGGAGAGACATAGTTCAGCAAGAATGTGACGCCATAGAGTCTGTTCTCTCTAACGCTGCCATTTTATCCAGGGAAACTGATCTTTATAGTATGGATATCAGATGTCGTTCCAAGAGAACTCCAGGGCCCACCTGGAGTTTGACAGTACAAACAAACAGCAAATACCGTGATGGATCTATAATATTATATAAATATATAATAAACTCATTGCACATACAAAACATCAACTGTGAAAAACCAATAACATACAATTATAATAATAAACCTATAAATACCAAATCGTGACTAAACAAAGTTCATATAAGTTCATTCAGATTAGTCATAGTGATGGGAAGTCCTCTCAAGGAATATAACAAATTAGCAAAAAGTATAAGAATTTTTGCAAGAAATATTCTTCTGAAGCGTAGAGTTCCAATCCGGCTTCTCTCTGTTGAAGCTATTGCTGAATAAGGATCCAGGAGCCCTACGAACAATCAATATATGTCATTTCAAAGACTCTCTTGAGCTGACGATCCTTAAGAATGATCAATCTCCCCTGTAAACAAGGTACTTCAAAGACAGAACGGAGCAGCAGCAAACTGGGCAGCAAAATTAGGTGCCTTGTCCTGAAGCTCAGTGTACAAAATGACCCAGCCTTTAATCCCCACTGTAAACAAAGTACATTAAAGACAGAACGGAGCAGCTTTCAAAATGGGCAATAAAAGAAAGTGCTTTCTCTTGAGGCTCATTGTTCTAGGTTCTTGGATCCTTATTCAGCAATAGCATTGGAATGGAATTATATGAACTTTGTTTATTCATGGTTTGGTATTTATACAGTTGTTATTATAATATAATTATAATTATTATATGAACTTTGTTTATTCATGGTTTGGTATTTATACAGTTGTTATTATTATAATTGGAGGAGCTGCGGTGGCTCAAGTGGTTAAGACGCTGAACTGCAGGCTGTGGAAGGTCGGTAGTTCAGCAGTTTGAGATCCGAGTGTGCCGCATGACGGAGTGAGCGCCCGTCTCTAGTTCCAGCTCCTGCCAACCTAGCAGTTCAAAAGCAAGAAATTGCAAGTAGATAAATAGGACTGGCTTTCGAGCAAGGGAACCTTTACCTTACCTTTATTATTATAATACTATCCAGGTGGTCAGCCTGTCTATAAGTTTGAACCTGATCTACCATACCGATGTATTTGAAAAAAGTGTGCCTGCACGCGAAAGCTCATACCTTAGATAAAAACTTGTTGGTCTTAAAGGTGCCACTAGACTCTAAATTTTTATAATTATATGTTATTGGTTTTTCCCACTTGACGTTTTGTATGCGTAATGAGTTTATTATATATTTATATAATATTATAGATTGATCATGGTATTTGCCATCTGTTTGCACACCCACCTGGAGTTCGGCAACCCTTAGCTTTACTGGAACTCTTCTGGAAATTTCCATTCTTATTTCATGAGGTTCCCCCCCTTTGGAAGTATGCCCCTTTGAACAAACTAATAATATATTCGATACCGTAGGAACAAAATCTTTTGCAAGAATTCTCACGACCGCATGACTCGCCAAGAATCCAACGGAAGCACTACAGACAGGAACCAGAGTATTACCAAGCTCCTGCTCCTGCTGCGGCTCCTGTCCCGCCACCTCCTCCTCCTCCACCACCACCGCCAGCACCGCCAAGGATTATCCAGCAAACAGTAAGGCCAAACTCACACGTGCCACTTAAAGTGCTCATTAGCTCATCTCTGCTATTGTTTAGACGCAGTTGCTCAGGAATATGCAGAGGGTCTTCTCAGAGGCAGGGCCTACTCGAGATCGTGGGGAGCCCTGGGCAGAAAGTGCCCACATGCCCCGCCTCCCCTGGCCACCACCAGGCCCCCCCCGTACATGCCTCGAGGGTCGCCAGCCTCCAGGTGGTGGCTGGAGTTCTCCCGCTATTACAACTGATCTCCAGGCAACAGAGATCTGTTCACCTGGAGGAAATGGCTGCTTTGGAGGGTGGACTCTATGGCATTAGTCCCCATTGGGCTTGCGCCCCTTGTAAGCCGCCCTGAGCCCGCTCGCGGGGAGGGCGGGGTAAAAATGCTTAAAATAAATAAATACATAATTGAACTCCCTCCTATCCCCAAACTCCGCCTCCTTAGGCTCCACCCCCCAGATCTCCAGGTATTTCCCAACCAGGACCCTACATGCCTCCCTTCCGAGCCGCTGACCTATATGCCAGTGCATGCTTTCCCAATCGGGTTGCCGGGTTCCCCTCCGGCCACCAGCAGGGGATGGGGGGGTAGGGTTGCCAGATCCAAGTTGGAAAATGCCAGGAGATTTGGGGATGGAGCCTGGGGAGGACAGGGACCTCAGCGGGCTACGATGCCATAGAGTCCGTCTTCCAAAGTATCAGTTTTCTCCAGGGGAACTGATCTCTGTAGTCTGGAGATGAGCCATAATTCCTGGGGATCCCCAGGTCTCACCTGGAGGCTGGTATCCCTATCCCCCCCCCTACACACCTCCTCGTCAACCCTCTCACCACTCATGCTCACGGCTGCTGCATTCCCTTTCCCTGATGATGCTGGACAGTAGATATGGCTGGGAGCACTTGTTCCCTCTAAGCTGTGGAGTCCTGTGAGCAAAAATTCTACTCTGTGAGCTACTGGCATTAAAGTTGTGAGCGAGCGATTTGGCTCCTGCATAAATTAGCTTGCTCTGGATCCCTTCTTTCTGAGCTAAGACAAAAATGTGTGAGTCAGAGGCTAAAAAACTGTCAGCTAGCTCACACTAACTCAGCTTAGAGGGAACACACTTGCCAGGTCCAATTCAGGAATTGGCAGCTGGGCAGCAGGGGCAGCACATGGACAGGTGGGTCAATGGCAATTGACCTTGCGAGATGCCCTGGGCCCTGGCAGCTGCCCCCACCTCGGCATATGTTGGCATTGGCGCTTATTCAGAACAAATTGTTGGGGTTAACTGGTGTGGTTAGTCCAGTTCCCACTAGTTAGGAGAGTCCTTAAATAAAGCTACAGGTGCAGGAGCGTCACTTTACCAGGTTACCCAGCTTAGCTGCACAGAACCACATTGCAAGTTTAACAGAGAAATACTTCTCTCTTTATTTGAGAAGTACACTTTTGGATAGGAAAGAGTAGAGACAGGATAGAGTACTAACTTACTAGCTAAGGATGGAAGCGGATGGCAAGAGGCCCATCTGCCTTGTGGTGCCAAGAGAGGACAGCATGTCGTTCGTCTCGGTGTGTTAGGCTTGCCAAGTCCCCCCGGGAGGCAGGAAAAACCCCGCCCCAGAGGCCCGTTCCCTGCCGCCGGTGGATTGGGCCCCGGGGGGAACCCCACATGCACGTCACCCAGAAGTGACACGACCACGCTGGGCACGCTGGGGGCGGGGCCACGGTCATCCGAGGGAAAACTCTATGGTTTTCCCTCGGATGGTCGTGGCCCCACCCCCAGCGTGCCCGGCGTCATCACGTCACTTCCGGGTGACGTGCGCGCTCGCTCCAGACGCCAGCCGGGAGACCCCCGCTGCTGCAAAGATCGCACTTGGGAACCCTACGGTGTGTGCAGGGAAAAGTGGGAGCCTCGTCCGAGAGAGTGAACAGAAGGAAGGAAATTGTCCCTGAGAACACAGTCTACATTTCAAAGGGGACAGTGGCAGAAGAGTAAACACAGGAAGAGAAGGTCAGTGTGCCTATCTAGCTATCTAGTCTCTCTTGCCACTCACTTCTGGAGGTCCGAGACAGGGGACAGCGCCTTCACTTCCAACACAAACTAACCCAAAACAGAAAAGAGAATAAGGTCTGGCAGAGTCCTTCATAGCAGCTTGTCAGCATGTAGAGAAAGCTGTAAACCCTGGCTTGGAACTGCTCCAGTTTCTGATTGTCTGGAACTGTAATAAAACATGAATATTACACCAGGCACTTTGTGAAAAACAGGCAGTTCTAAACACACGAGTATCCAGTTTCTGGATCGATGGATGGCCAGCCAGAAAGGTTGTTTTACATTCCCATTTCAGCCTTTCTGTGCACGTGTGATTTTGACCTAAGAGCTTCATTTTGCACCCCAAGCAGGAGAAATCCTTGTTTGAAAATCTGCCTGTTAGAAGCAAAACAATCAAAGCAAAATAAAAAGCAAGCAAAGTTTATCCCAGGCCCAGCCTTTGGTAAATCCTGGAACCATGTCAGATCCACCGTCAAAGTCTGCAGCAGAGCTTTGAGAGTAGTGTTAGAGTTCCAGTCCCTAATTTCTTAATACATTCAACTGTATTCATGGCTGGGCTGGTTGAGTTTATTAATGCTTCCTTGAGCAGGTGACCACTGGCCTAGCATTTGTAGCTGCCTGCTTTTTGCCTTCATCAAAATGACTGATGATTCCTCGTCTTGAATGGCAACACTTCCCTCAGTCATTTCCTTGTCTCCAAACTTCCCTCCGTTGGGAATGTCGCTGAAGCAGCTTCCCCTTCTCAAAGCATACCAGCGGCATTGGTCCCCCTGGGCCTTTGCCTGACTCCTGACAGAGATCATGTTGAGATCTGTGCAGCATTTACAGTTTTTTTGACAAGAGGTGAAAAATTTGTCTGTGTATCTGAAGGAGCTGGATTCCAGCCTGATATGTGGTGGTGGAAAGTGATATCAAGTTGCAGTTGATTTATGCCTAGGGTTGCCAGCCTCCAGGTGGGGCCTGGAGATATCCCGCTTTTACAACTGACTTCCCGCTGACAGAGATCAGCTCCTCTGGAGAAAAGGGCTGCTTTGGAGGGTGGACTCTGTGGCAGTGTACCATGCTGAGGCCCCTCCTCTCCCCAAACCCCGCCCTCTCCCAGATCCACCCCCAAAGTCTCCAGGTATTTTCCAACCCAGAGCTGGCAACCCTATTTATGCCAAACCCCATAGGCTTTTCAAGGCAAGAGATGTTCAGAGGCAGTTTCCCATTCCCTGCCTCAGCGTAATGACCCTGGACTTTCTCAGTGGTCTCCCATCCAAATACTAACCAGGCCTAACTTCAGAGATTGAATGAGACCAGGGGTTATTTCGTAGAAAAAGAGGTCCAGGCGCTCATTAGCATAACTTATTAGCATAACTTATTTGCATATGCCAGACCCCCTGACATCACCAGAAGTGAGTCAGAAGGCAACACCCACCACTCAGGCTCCACTGGACTGTTTTGGATTGCTAGCTATTGGGTGGGGGGAGAGAATGTGCAGATCTGCCCTCACAGAGGAGGGAGAGCTTGTACCTGAAGGTGGGGGGGGGGTGCTCTGCAACTTACCTGGCTGCTTCTTGCTCTGACTGAGGGCTGCTGGGAGCAGGGGGCGGGGCTTGCTGCATGTGCCCGCCTCCTGGGCTCCTTACTGCCGGAGCTCCGCCCCTGTGCGCTCCCGCAGGAAATGACCCCTGGATGAGACTGGGCTAGCCTGGGCTATCAAGGTTGAGGGCCCTGAGCTGGAACAGGGCCTAATATCATTTTCAGAGAGGCTTATGAAAATGAACACAAGTGCACAATAATGCATGGTTGAAACTTTAAGAAAAAATCCTTGAGGAGTCCAATAAACTTCATCTGCACTAAACATTAATGGCCGTGCTAATTGAAAAATGTAAACTGAGCATTGAGCATTGACACAATTGCTTTCACAGCCCCAAGTCTGGAATGCCCGTTTTCATTCTGTCTCTGAGAATTCTTTTTCGCTTGCTTGTTTGTTTTCTTTGCCAAGTTGCCTCAGCAGCCAGCCACCATTATTCAGCAGATCCCTCAGCATTCACCGCTCATTACCCAGATCCCGTCTCCACAACCTTTCCCAGCTCCCCGCTCTGGGAGCATTAAGGAAGGTAAGCATGCATGTTCCGAGAACAAGACCGCCTAGAAGTAAAGCTCATTAACTTAACAGGACTTACTTCTGAGGAAACAAACTGTAAACACTGGGTTGCAAACAGCTTTTCCAATGTCACTGCCATTTCACCTTCTTATCATTCAGGCACTAGACAGCATGGAAACAGGCCTGCTTGAACTAGCTATGCTCAGGGCCAAACTGTACGTTACATCGTATGCGCGTCTGCCATGGGGGCTCTCAGACTGATTTCACACAAGAGCTGCACCGCGGTCGTGGCCTCCCTTTGCCCCGCTTCTATTGGTCAATTTCCCACTCGAAGCCGCGTGGCCGCATTTTGACCCGCGGCTTCGCCCGATTTTCCCCGCGCTTTCGTGATCCTGTTTTTTGAGAATCACGAAACTGCGGGGAAAATCGGGCGAAACCGCGGGTCAAAATGCGGCCACGGGGCAAAATGCGGCCGCACGGCTTCGAGTGGGAGATCGACCAATAGAAGCGAGGCAAAGGGAGGCGCGACCGCAGCGCAGCTCTTGTGTGATATCGGTCTCAGCCATATCGCAGCTGTTGGTTCCCAGTGGGAACTTCATTTCGAAGTGTTCTGCTGCAGTGAGTAAAGGAAAAGAAGCCACTTATCTGTAATGTAAGGCACAATGGGAATTGTAGTTCGCTAGCTTCATTAGTTCATAAGTAGATCCAGAAAACATGGGTTAACGGGGCAGTAAATTCAGACCTACTCCTGGAGCAGCCAAAAGTTGTGTGGAAAGTTTTACAAATATCAATGATTTAAGAATGCCGATGCGGCGGTTTGCGCATGTGTGGGAATGGTCAGTGTCCCACTTAGTGAACAGCTAATCTCTTGGCCAGTTTGGATTGTCCCAGAGCTGCAGTCATTGTCAAGAAAGATGTGTTAACCAGTTCAGAGCATGCAAGGTAGTCAAAGCATAACTTTTTAAAGGACTAGCCTAGGCTAGGTGTCCCCAAAGATATGCCCCTGGGTGCCATTGCACCTGCTGACATCAGTTGGGCCAGATTGAGCTTTTGCCCAGCAAGGCTTTTGATTGGCCTTTGGAGATTTGATTGGCTGTACAGCTTTTTAAAAACATTGCTTTGGCAGCAGGTGCCACCACAGCCCAAGAAACTTCAATGTGTGACTGAAGGTAAGCTGCGGCAGCCATTTTGTAGCTGACTCCGCCTCCTGTGGCACCCATTTTGTGCTCATTGTGCCGTGTGTCAAAACTCCAGAGGTGCCCACAGGCTCAAAAAGTTTGGGGATAGGCTTGCCAAGTCCCCCCGGGGGGCGGGGAAACCCCTGGCCCAGAGGCCCAATCCCCTCTGCCAGCGGATCGGGCCCCAGGGGAAACCCCACCCCCAAAGCACACGACGTGCACGTCACCCGGAAGTGACGTGACTATGCCGGGCACGCTATGGTTTTCTCTCGGATGGTCGTGGCCCCGCCCCCAGCGTGCCCGGCGTGGTCATGTCACTTCCGAGTGACGGGGTTGCGGCGCGGAGCTCCTGGAGCAGCACTGGAGTCCCCTGCTCCAGCGCCGATCCGACTTGGGAACCCTATTTGGGGACCTCTGGTCTAGGCATATCGTTTACTCTTCCCTTCTCTTTTTTGTAGGCCTGCAATTGTAAGCTGAGCAAGTTCCTTGATTATCTTTAGAGGTTCAGACCATAAAGAGAGCCAGTTTGGTGTAGTGGTTAAGTGTGTGGACTCTAATCTGGGAGAACCGGGTTTGATTCCCCACTCCTCCACTTGCACCTGCTGATGTGACCTGGGGTCAGTCACAAGCTCTGGCACAGCTGTCCTTGAAGAAGAGCAGTTTGTGTCAGAGTTCTCTCAGCCCCACCCACCTCACAGGGTGTCTGTTGTGGGGAGGGGGAGGGAAAGGAGTTTGTAAGCCGCTCTGAGACACCTTTGGGTAGTGAAGGGCAGGGTATAAATCCAATCTCTTCTTCTTCTTCTTCTTCTTGTTCTTCTTCTTCTTCATAAAATGCCACAGAAGGGGGAGTCCTAGTCACTGCGGAGCTACATTATTTGAAAGGAGCCTGCCCTAAATGGGTCTTCTTAGGACCTGCTTCTTTCTCCCCTCACGTTCTGGGATGATCTCTGCGGTCATGTGGGGAGTGGCTTCTTGACTATTGTCCTCCATGCTTTCCTAGATATGGTGGAAATGATGCTGATGCAAAACGCGCAGATGCACCAGATCATTATGCAGAACATGATGCTGAAATCTTTGCCACCACCCGCATATTCACCAGCCAGCGGGCCTGGGGCTCCTCTGCTTCACCACGGACAGCCGGTAAAAATTGATTTCCATGAACTCTGAATAGAGGCCGAATCTACATTTGCATTTTAAAATCATTTTCGTGCTGCTGTGACGCTGTCCTTCTTAATGCTTGTTTGAATGTTGTCTGGAGAAGATTCTTTTAAAGCAGTGCGGAGGTGCAATGGCAGTGGAGCTGCTCCGAAAGGACGATAAGCATATGTGGAGGTGCAAAGGTATGCTAGCACTCTTGAGGTGTGCAAACGACACCAAACGTAGTGTCAGCAAGCTGCCAATTGTTTTCTACTTTCACTTTCATACGCATCCCTTCTTATGCGCTTAATTGCTTCACAGCAGCAACGTGTATCTCTCAAGGCCACAGGAGGAGAGCCGCTGGATAGTTGCTTGGGTTATCTCACGGAGGTGCCGTGGGAAGAGTATCTGTTATGCTTAGTGCTACCGTTTCATTCTCAGGCCTAATGGCGCGCGCGGGAACTCCCGCGATTGGGCCTTGCTAGTTTGAATGCACTATAACCTATCATGCTCTGTGATACCTTGTCATTCCTAACAGTGTTCTTGTCAATGCATCTTCAGCTCAATAAAAGTAAAACCTTTCTGCAAGTGTGTACTGCGTTGTAGCTGTGGAGACCTGACACGTAGACAGCTTTTTTGAAGACGGAGTCAAAAGGCTGGGACACTGGTGGGAAAGACAAATGCAGATTCTTCCAGAAACTCCTGAAAGATAAAGGTTTAGAGATCTGTATTTTAAAAATTTCTCTGGTAATAGTCTCTCTTGTCTCAAACCATATATGCTGACTAATATAACTGGTGTGGTAAAGGTGGACAGTGCTGTTAAGCCAAAAACTCATATGTGCTGGGTTGCATGTGTTTGGGTGTCTGGTGGGTGATCCAACTGGCTGTCTGCACAGTGAAGTGCGTCTTCACACATTATGGAGTACACAGGTTGGGTCTGGATCTCCACCCTGCATCAGGTGTGCAGAAGGGGGTTCAGCATCCCCAACATGCATGCCATAGTCCTGGGTAAAGCTCCCAAATCTCGCCAAATCGCGGCAGGGGATCCGCATGTCTTTGCAGAATCCGTGCTGCGGGGACAGCGAGACGCGTTGGACCACTGTCGCCAGGACATGATGCTACGCATCGCTCTGGCAACGGGGCTGTTTGGAGCCCCGTTGCCAGAGCGACGTATAGCGTCATGTTCTGGTGACGGCGGGTGCAACGCATCTCGCCGTCCCCACGGCACGGATTCTATAAAGACACATGATCCCCCGCTGCGACTTGGCAACCCTAGTCCTGGGGGACTGCAGCCTTCATGGATTAATTAAATAAAGCAGAACAGAAGTCTCTAAAGGGTTTAGCAGCTAATCCTTACACCCAGCTGAAAGAGACGACGCAGCTGCTAAACCCCGTTTAGAGGCTGAAGGCTTTGGTTCCAATCGATTTGCAGTCCTGAGGAAATTCAACTGTTGACTGCTTCAATTTTCTAAAAGAATAAAAAACAAAGAGATTTGAGTTGTGAGAACGAACGCCACCTGCAATGTTTCCCTCTAAGCTGAGTCAGTGTGAGCCAGCTCACAGTTTTTTAGCCTCCGGCTCACAGATTTTTGTCTTAGCTCCGGAAGGGATGGCTCCAGAGCAAACGAATTTATGCCGCAGCCAAATCGCTCCCTCACAACTTTAATGCCAGCAGCTCCCAAAGTAGAATTTTTGCTCACAAGACTCCACAGCTGAGAGGGAGCATTGGCCACCTGGTATATTTATATGCTCATTGTGCCTTGGAAATTGACTTTTTGGGATTGTTAATATATATTGGCTATAACGGTGTGTCAGTTGTCAATGTTACTTGGTTAAAAACTCAGCAGACTAGCTATCTTCTTTAATTGCACAGATGTCTTTGTTTAGATGAGTAAGTTTATATGTAATGTATGGCTCCTAATTATTGATGTAAAGGGTCAGAGTAGTCATATGACAAATAATAAGACCAGCACAGCAAACATTGTCTCCGAGATCTTTAACAAGACTACGTTTGGTTCACGGTCATTTGGTAAATACTATGTGCTCAACTCTTATATCCCTCTAATGTATACCCTCCTGCTGTTATTAGTGCTTGTGTTATTTATTTTTCTGCTTTCTATTGTATTACTATGTAAAAGAATAAAAAATCTTAATTAAAAAAAAACCCAGCAGAAAGGGGATGGATGGTACAAAGGGAGGCAAAATAAGAGAAATGGGTTCACCTTTAGTTGGTGTAACTCTACTCTGCAAAGAGTACAAATAATAGACTACATGTGAGACTCTACGTGTGAGACTACAAAGAGGGGCTGGTGTAAAACAAGACCCAGTAAAAGGAGAAATCCGTTCACCTGGAGTAGGTGTGAGACTCAACAACAGCAGAACAGCATAAACACGGTATCCAATGAATGTGATTCATCAACCACATTCATAAATGTTTTGCTAATTTAGCGAATCCAGGTTTGTTCCAGCCTCCTTTTGTACTAGTTGGGATTATGTGAAGCTCTTAAACAGTCTTGTGAGTATAACAATAAAACAAAAAAACTCTACTCAGTGCTTCCTTTTTAAAGCAATAGTGTTAATAGCAGTGGTCTACCTAAGATTTAGCCGATTTTTGTCATGACGTCACAGGAGCTAGCAACACATTTATGATTATGGTCTCAGATGCTGGAACGAGTCTGGCCAGTCCCCAGGAAAGATTTTGCTGCCAGTGGTGCTTATTTCTCATATCCAGATTTGAGCCATGCTCATTTCTAATGCACACACACCTCCTGTCGCGTTCTCTTGTCGTTCAAAGCTTACCCCACTTTGTGGCCCTCTCCCTACAACAAAAAACCAACCCAGAGACAACTGTAATGTAGGCCATCCAAGTGACCCAAAAAAGTGCTGAGTGGTCCTGCTCTTTTGCCATCAATGGGTGGGACAGAGTACAAAAACCTTACTGAACTGTGCATTTCTATTTATTAAGTGGTAGTATACGTTTGTTAACGTAACAAAAATGAAGGAGCCGATTTAAGGATTTCTGCTTCTTTCCATCACGCATACAAAAGTACACAGATTTGCTAAAATCCTGAGATGAAAAAGAAAGCACCTGAAAGACAAACTATTTGTAGATCCCACAAAAAGGAAATTTGTCCGGGAGGGGGGAGAGACATCTGTTGCTTAAACAGTGAACACACAAGAACGTATGAAGTTGCCTTATACCGAATCAGACCACTGGTCCATCAAAGTCAGTATCGTCTTCTCAGACTGGCAGACGCTCTCCAGGTTTTCAAGTGGAGATCTTTCATATCACCTATATCCGATCCTTTCGACTGGAGATGCCAGGGATAGAACCTGGGACCTTCTGCATGCCAAGTAGTTGCTCTACCAATGAGCCACAGCTCTTCCATCAGTGGTTAATTTAAGTTGCTTCTAGAACAGAAACCTAGGGGAAAGGGAAGAACTTTGTCTAGGCAGTGCAACTTGGACACCATCTGCTCTCCTGGCTAGGATAAAGTACCATCAAATACTATCAAAATTGGAATATGTTTTATTTGAGTGTAAACTTTACCAAAATATTACAGCCGCCTATATAACGCCAGTTTGTGATTATTTCCCAGGGAGGAATATCAGATTTTACCTAGACAAGCTCTTTGCTGATAGAGACCAAAAGATTACCCTAAATGTGGCAAAATTTGCTTGACAAGCTGTAAGACTCCGGAAGCAATTTGTAGAGGGAAGCATCTAATTGGCCTATCGCTAGAACTCAGTCCTGATTTTTATTTTATATGTCTGAATGTATATGTTCCGTCTGACGCTGAGTCAACAGCGCCTTCTGGACAGATTCAATGCACGGCCAAAGTAGAATTAAATCAATTTTATTCAGTTCCACATGCATTCAGAAGAGTTCTTACATCTTTTGTAATTTAATTCTGTTCACTGGCTCATGGTGAAAAGGATTGCGTGTCCCAACTCCTTGCCGTTTGAAGAGAACAAAGGAAAAGGGGAAGAGAGCTGTAACTCACAATCCTCCCGCCTCTGTGAGGAGCAAATGAGCGTTAATCAGCCAGTCAGGGATGCATTGGGATGCCTAACTAAAGACTACAATTCCCAGGGGCAAACTGCTCTTAAAGATATATGGCAGTTCTACTTAGCTACAGTTAAATGCTGACTGGGGCAGCACAGTATATTTTACTCTCATTATGTATGTTATTTGATTGGTCTCTGACTGTATTAAACTCTTGTTGCTGTTGTTGTTGTACCATCAAAATCTTCTCTCTCACCTATCTGTAGGTTACTGCCCCTATTGTGGTACGAACAGAGAAACCCCGACCGTCAACTGTACATCATCATCACTATACACCTGCAGGGGTGCCCGCTCTGCCCCCTCAGCTTGGCTTTCCCATGTGGCCTTCAGTAATGCCACCTGTTCTTGGCACACAACAAGGTGGTTTCCCGTCTGATCCCTACCATCTGTCCATCCCAACTACCGCAACACACACGTAAGTCAAGAGGTTGCTACGATGTTAGTGTTGCTTCTGCAGCTTAGTGAGGTCTGTCTGAGGTCTGTGGAAGTCAGCTCATACTGGCTAGCTTGGCTAAGCAGCCTAGACGTTCTCCCAGGCCTTTGTAAATATAAACAGCTCATATGCTGCAGAACAAAGTTTGAGTCCAGTGGCACCTTTAAGACCATCAAAGTTTTATTCAAAGTGTAAGCACACTTCTTCAGACATCTACTGGACACTGGAAACCAGACATTCCACAGATGTAACTTGGTATAAATGTGTATTTCCTAATCTTGCTTTCTCTCTCTCAAGGTTACCAGCCCATGGACTCCTTGGATTACCCCCAGGCTTGTAGAGTTGAGGTACAGCACCTTAAAAAGGTAACCAGACCACAGGCTTCCTGTGGTCATCTCAGTTCTAGGTTCATGTCCCCTTTAGCAACTCAGTAGGGTGAGGGGTTTTCTCCAGGCTCTTTCTCTGCATGAGCTTCTGCAGCAGCAATATTTTTTCCATGCACCTGTTAGAGGGTTAAAGGGATGAGGGTTCCCTTCTACCCCACATGATCTTTTTGCTGTCACGCTCTTGATAAAAATTGCAATTAATGTACAGCACCCGGATGCAACTCTAGGACTCTTTCTGTTACAGTTCCAGGACTTTATCCTAAGGCCGCTCTCCTTTCATGCTAAGACTTTCACCCAAATTCTCTTATAGTTGCAAGCACTGGGTTAGGAAACTCCTGGAGGTTTGGGGGTAGAGCCTGGGGAGGGAGAGTTTGAGGAGAGGATGGACTTCAGGGGGACATAATGCCACAGAGTCCACCCTCCAAAGCAGCCATTTTCTCCAGGGGAACTCATCCCTGCTGTCTGGGCATCAGTTGTAATTCCGGAAGATCTGACAAAAGCTCCACTCTCAAAATCCAGCTGTCACTTCTTAACCCCACCCTGCTTCCCAGCACTCTGCTGCTATTGGTTGTCACTGAGGTCCATCAGTGGCTATTAGCCACAAGGTATAGATAGGGTCTCTGGGGCAAGGGATGCTCTGTCTTCTTGGTGCTCGGGGGGGTCAACAGTAGGAGGGCTTCTAATGTCCTGGCCCCACTGGTGGACCTCCTGATGGCACCTGGTATTTTTGGCCACTGTGTGACAGAGTGTTGGACTGGATGGGCCTTTGGCCTGATTCAACATTGGCGTCTCTTATGTTATTATGTCTCAGAGCATCACTCGTGTTGAGTCTTGAGTCGCTGGGATAATTTGCACTATTCTCATTGGCTCCCAAGCTGCTGGCCTACTTTGCACTGTGCAGTCTGTCATGGCAGCTCTGACAGTGGCCTTCTGTGAAAAAGGCCAGTAGCTAGAGAATTTTCGGTGGGGGAGCATGGAGGGGGCACTGGCGACACGTCACAAATACATAAATAAAATGAAAATAAATACACCCCCCCTTAAAGGTAGGATCCAGCTCAAATTCGGTGCTGGCAACTCTGCCGTAGCCCTGCTTACTCAGAGCATGACTCGTGTTGAGTCTTGAGTTGCTGGGATAATTTGCACTATTCTCATTGGCTCCCAAGCTGCTGGGCTACTTTGCATTGTGCAGTCTGTCATGGCGGCTCTGACAGTGGCTTTCTGTGAGACAGGCCAGTAGCTAGAGAATTTTCAGTGGGGGTGCGTGGAGAGGGCACTGGCGACACGTCACAAATACGTAAATAAAATGAAAATAAATGGCCCCCTCCATTAAAGGTAGGATCCAGCTCAAATTCAGTGCTGGCAACTCTGCCGTAGCCCTGCTTAATTTGGAGTGGATCACGTCTGTGCATCCTGAGGGCACAATGTGAGAAGCTCTGACGGACGTTCGGCGGCCACCATCAGAGTTCCATGCCAGCCCCTTTCCTTGCCAAAGCGGGAAGGCTCCCTTAGATCCTCTGGCCGGTCCGGAATCATCAGGGGCAGGGGAAAGGGGGCGGGGACAAATCGCCCCAACTGAGTGTGAAAGGGAAAGGGACTGCTGCAAAATTCTTTGGCGAGGGGAAATTGACCAGCATGCCCCTCTGCCTGGCCGGGAAATCCCATCCTGGTCAATTTCACCCAGGAGTGACAGGAGACTTCGGCTCTCAGGCAGGGATTGCCCAACCACAGCACTTCACCCCTGCAACCAGGGGCGGATTAAGGCTCACTGGTGCCCTAAGCACTGACCAATCTTGGTGCCCCCCTCCTTTCCACACTGACCCAGTCCATTTTAGATGTTGACCTGTGTCTGACCAGATAGACAATGCAGGTTGCCGCAATACAAACATTTATTCTTATGATAACACAATATACTGTACAAACTAAGGTTTTCACCCTTTTCGCAACTTTGTGGTGCCCCCTTTGGCCCTGGTGCCCTAAGCACGTGCTTAGTCTCTGTATAGAAAAAGTCTTTTCTAAAGTCCTTCCTGCCTGGGCCACATGGCCTTAGCTGGTAACACTCCCGTGTGATTTCTGTCACCTGTGCAGATGGCCTGCCAGATGACCAGACCTCTTATCCATATACAAGACACTTTGACACCTTTGCTGGGGCAGAGCAACAAGCAGACGCCTTCCCAAGCATGGGAAGAGCTATGCCCAGTACATTAGCACATCAAAAGCATTCCCTGACATGACACATGGTCACTTGAAGAGGCTGGGGAGGGAGTGACTGAACTGTAGACAGGATGCCCAACTCCTAGCCAATCACAACATTCCTTGCCTGGCAACGCATGGTAACCAGAGATTGGACACGCCTCCCCACTCTCTCACTATTGGGTAAATGGCTATACCTGGTGGTGACGGAAGGGGGGTATAACTGCAATAATCCATATGGGGAAAAGGGAGTTCCCCTCTGGAAACAAAGAGTTATTTTGGACTGGCTGTTTAGTTGTACCATGGAGTTTTGCCACTAGGGAGCCAAGCTGGACTTAGTTGCCCACAGCACCATGGGGTTACTTTTCAAGATTCCGTGGTGAGAACTTGGACTATTTGCACACAAGCCTGGTAACTATGGAATACCTCTATTGTGTAGTTAGAGCTGAACAAGCTATAGATATAATTTGTTTTCTTATCTTTTGCCAGTCTCATGTTATATGCATGCTTGTGCACTGAATAAAGATAATATATAATCAATATTATCTGGACTTGTTTCCTCTGTTGCAACCTGATTTCTAAGACTGAATCTTATGTCTAAGCCGTTCGCCTAAGGAGGCTACCACTGTGTTAATGAATTGTTTGCAGCCCTGGTACAGAGCTGGTAAAGTTGGTAAGTCCCATAAATCAAGCAGGAGTTTGGGATCTCTGCTCCTGAGCTTTGGTGGGGACTTTGTAAAGAGAGATCCTGGTGGCAGTAACTACTGGTAAAGCCTGGAGAGTATACAGACATTCTTTTGGGGTTTGTTTAATTGTTGCTGAATGCTTGGTTGCTCTCCCATCTCTGGACTGGGGTGAGAGAGAAAACCTTGACAGTCTCCTTAATGGTTAATCCGCCCCTGCCTGCAACGTGCCCACTCTGCTGCCCTCCAAGTCACATTTGACCTCCCCTGCTCACCACTGAGGCCATGATCTCTGGTACAATTCCCTGGGAGTCAGTCCCGGCAAAACCAACTGCTTGGCTGTCTCAGAGCTGGGAAAGAAAAGTGTGGGACCCACGCTACCTACGGCCCTGCTGTGAGCAGTTTGCAAGTGTGTGGACGGATTTAACGCTTGCCCGAGTCTCCATGTCTGTGTGGCAGACAAAGGGGATCTTAATGATATAATGCCCCCCCTCTACATATGGATTCCATGATCATTCATGGGGTATAGCCTTGTGTACCCACAGAACAGAAAGCGTCTCTGTTGCTCATAAGCTCCCTTTTTCGCTTTCCGCGGTTGTCCCAGGGCTGCATGCAACATTGTTTTCTTCAAATATGTTACACATATTAACTGTCTTCTCATACAGGAGGCTGGCAAAGAGATGCTGAACGAGTACCCGGACCCTTCTTCACAGGACGCTTCCTTTCAAGATGACAGTCTTCTTCGGAGGGTTGGCTGAGAGCCCGATCGTATTCATATTTACTCAGAAGTAAGCCTCTCAGAATCCAAAGGGACTTACTTCAGAGTAAGTGTGCACAGGACTGTAGCCTTGTAAAAAATGTGATGTCTATCCAGTCTTATCTGTGGGCGGGGTTCCCCTTACTTCTGGGGGCTTCAATCCACCCCCACTGAGCTGGTGGTTGGGGAAGCCCCGCCCATAGCCCCGCCCCCCAAGAGCAACCACCTGTCTGGCCACCCCTCTCCCTCCCCTCTTGCCCAGTCTGAAGGGCTTCAGCTGGTCAGCGGGGACCACGTGGCCCGCCAACCAGCTGGATGGCCCTTTAAATCCAGCAGGAGGGAGGAGGATGTCGCACATGCAGGCTCCACTACACCCGGAGCACCCCCCAAATCCCCCCTGCTGGAGCAAAGAGGGGATTTGGCAACCCTAGGTCTAATCTGCATTTGCATTTTTAAATTAGTTTCATGCTGCTGTGACGCAGTCTTTCTCCATGCTTGTTTGAATGTTGTTTCGAGAAGATTCTTTTAAAGCAGTGCAGAGGTGCAATGACAGTGGAGCCGCCTTGAAAGGACCCTAAACATATGTGGACGTGCAAAAGTATGCTAGCACTCTTGAGGTGTGAAAACGACACCAAATGTAGACAGCTTTTTTGAAGACGGAGTCAAAAGGCTGGTACACCGGTGGGAAAGACAAATGCAGATTCACCCTTTGTCTAATGTGTAATTCTGTTCCGTGAACATCCCCTAAGGACTGCTGCTCTTGGCAAGGGGGGTAGTTGTGAGAAATGTTCCCAATTCCCCTGGCCTCTTTCATGCCGAATTTTAGTGACCTGTGATGCAGGAAGGACTTTATGTCCCTGAGAAGAATAACATGTCCTCTAACAGTCGCAGGCAGACCTAAATGGAGTATTGTATTACAACAGAAAGAACATCAGGTCTGTTCTCGCTTTGTGCTCATGCAGATTT